AGGAAAAGGTAAAACTTTTGGATATGATCAAAGATGGCAAGAAAATCGTGGAGGTTGCACGCCATTTCGACTTGAACGAGTCTTCCGTTCGCTCCATCCGTAAAGAGGAAAAAAACATCTGTGCTATGGCTACTTTCACTTTCAACAAGGAAGCAAAGCGCATCGTGACAAGGAATCCTACTTCGCTGAATTTCATTTATCACGGTAGGGTCTAGAACCGATTAACCGCGATAAACGAGGGTTCACTGTAACTGCATCTAACATATATATGTAATTACTATATGTCAGCACTGTACCAAGCTCTTGGTATATAATAATTATATTTGAATCCTCACAACAACCCGATGAGGGAGGTACTATTATTATCCTCTTTTATATGAATATTTAAGTAACAGATATAGACAAGCACTTCACCAAAAATCTTAGTACCAGTGTTTCATCAGGGTCATCTCAAAAAATCCCTGCATAATGAGAAAATAGAGTGTAGGGTGTTTGGTTTGTTTGTTTTTTTGTGTGAAATTTCACTTGGTCAGACCTCTCACTTAAGAATTCTGTTTAAAGAATCAGAAAGCCACCTTCTTTCTGTGTAAATGCTTCCCAAATGGAACATCTTTGGGATGCTCCTGATTGTCAGATAATTTTCTTTCTCATAAGAACATGTTCCCTGCTTGATATTTTGATTCTGAATCCCAATTCTCCTGTCTGAAAACTGTGCACTTTAAGAGTAATCCCCTTCCCAGGATAGCCGCTCCAAGGACTTGCAGATTCACTTTGCCAGATTCAGCATCTCACAAACTTGTCTTGTCTCTTCTTGCATCTAGGCTCTTGCCTTGTTGTTATTGGGTTTTTTTGTTTGGTTGGGTTTTTTTTAAATCATTTTATTGGGGGCCCATACAGCTCTTACCACAATCCATACATGAGGTACATTCGTTACCCTCATCATTCTCAAAACATTCACTTTCCACATAAGTCCCTGGCATCAGTTCCTCATTTTTCACCCTCCCTCCCTGCTCGCCCCTCCCTCATGAACCCTTAATAATTTATAAATTATTATTTTGTCATATCTTACACTGTCCGACATCTCCCTTCAGCCACCTCTGCTGTCCATCCCCCAGGGAGGAGGCTATATGTAGATCCTTATAATCGGTTCCCCCTCTCTACCCCACCCTCTCTCCACCCTCCAGGTAGCACTACTCTCACCACTGGTCCTGAAGGGATCATCCGTCCTGGTGGCTTCCCTGTGTTTCCAGTTCCTATCTGTACCACTGCACATCCTCTGGTCTAGCCAGATTTGTAAAGTAGAACTGGGATCATGATAGGGGGCAGGGGTAGGAAGCATTTAGGAACTAGAGGAAAGTTGTGTTTCATTGTTGCTACATTGCACTCTGACTGGCTCGTCTCCTCCCAGAGACCCTTCCGTAAGGGGATGTCCAATTGCCTACAGATGGGCTTTGGGTCTCCACCCCGCACTCCCCCTCATTCACAATGATATGATTTTTTGTTTTCCTTGATGCCTGATACCTGATCCCTTCAACACCTCATGATCACATAGGCTGGTGTGCTTCTTCCATATGGGCTTTGTTGCTTCTGAGCTAGATGGCCGCTTGTTTACCTTCAAGCCTTTAAGACCCCAGACACTCTATCTTTTGATAGCCGGCCACCATCAGCTTTCTTCACCACATTTGCTTATGCACCCATTTTGTCTTCAGCAATTGTGTCGGGAAGGTGAGCATCATAGAATGCCAGTTTAATAGAACACAGTATTCTTACATTGAGGGAGTACTTGAGTGGAGGCCCAATGTACATCTGCTACCTTAATACTAAACCTATAAATATATGCACATAGATCTATTTCCCCATCCTCATATATAAATATATTTACATATGTAAATGCCTTTATTTAGAACTCTATACATGCCCTTTGCCTCCTAGCCCTTTCCTCTATTTCCTTTGACTTTCCTCTTGTCCCACTATCATGCTCAGTCTTCATTTGGGTTTCAGGAATTCGTCTTGGTTTATATTACCCTTGATCATGCCCTACCAGGCCTGATCACCACCGATTTGGATCACATGATGTTCCCTTGTCCCTGGGTTTGTTAGCACCACTAACTTTCCCCCCACCTCCCCTTATCCCATGTCCCCCTGGAACTGTGTCCAGTTTTCTTTTTTATCATTTTATTAGGGGCTCATACAACTCTTATCACAATCCATACATACATCAATTGTGTAAAGCACATTTGTGCATTCATTGCCCTCATCATTCTCAAAACATTTGCCCTCCACTTAAGACCCTGGCATCAGCTCCTCATTTTTCCCCTCCCTCTCCACTCCTCCCTCCCTCATGAACTCTTGATAATTTATAAAGTATTATTTTGGTCATATCTTGCCCTGTCCGCCGTCTCCCTTCACCCACTTTTCTGTTGTCCATCCCCCAGGGAGGTGGTCACATGTAGATCCTTGTGATCGGTTCCCTGTTTCCAACCCACCCCCCCTCCACCCTCCCCGTATTGCCACTCATATCGCTGGTCCTGAAGGGATCATCCTCCCTGGATTCCCTGGGTTTCCAGTTCTTATCTGTACCAGTGTACATCCTCTGGTCTAGCCGGATTTGTAAGGTAGAACTGGGATCGTGATAGTGGGAGGTGGGGGTGAGGAAGCATTTAGGAAGTAGAGGAAATTTGTATGTTTCATCGTTGCTACATCGCACCCTGACTGGCTCGTCTCCTCCCCAGTACCCTTCTGTAAGGGGATGTCCAGTGGCTTTGGTTCTCTACTCTGCACTCCCCCCTCCCTCACTCACTGTGATATGCATTTTTGTTCTGATGAGCCTGAGCCTTGTTAGTTCTTTTGGCAGTCTATGACACTTTCAGTATTCTTGCCAACACCGTAATTCTAATGCATTAAGTCTTCTTAGTTCTGCCTTATTCAATGTCCAACTTTTACATGCAGATGAAGAAATTGAAAACACCACGGCTTGGGTCAGGCACACCTTAGTCCTCAAAGTGATATCCTTGCTCTTGAACACTTTCAAGAGGTCTTTTTTTTAAATTGGTTTATCGTCCCATTGTTTTCTCCTCCAGTTTGTTCATCCAGCCTATCTTATTTAGACAGACCCGCGGAGATAATAACATGCATAAAAGCAAGACAGAGCAAAACCAAGCAACAATATACAACAAACAACAGCAACAACACCAACAGCTTATGACAAAAAGCACCACAAGAAAGAAAAGCTTGTAGTTAGTTCAAGGACTGTTTGTTGGCCTTCAGGAGTGTTCTCCCGTTGAGTCTGTTGGGGCACCAAGCCCTGGCCCCAAAGTCTATTCTTGGTACTCCCTGGGGACCTCGCCTCTCTGCTCCCTCTCCTGCTCTGCTACACTCCCCCAGTGTCCTGCCTTGGTGTGTTGGAATCAGACCGGGTGGAATCCCCACACTGTGTCTCCAGTGCTGTCCCCTGTAGGGCTATGGGTCAGTGAGGGATGTCGTGTCTCATAATGGGGCTGGCCATGTGGTCTTCTCTGTGGATTGGCTGCTCTGAGTGGGAATATCGTCCTAAGGCTTGGTGGGCCAGGATGTGCTCCACTCTCCCTTCCTCCCCCTTCATTTGCTCCCGTATACTCTGATCAGACATGTTCCTCTCCCGGAGCTGCAGATTCAGTGCTGTCCTCTGAACTAAATTCTTCCCCAGCTGCTATACCTTTTGAAAGCCAGGTACTATCAGCTTTCTTCACCACATTTGCT